TGACCTATTGCACTGGCTAGAGTCACCAGTGTGCTGCTAATCAGAAAGACAGCCTTCTGTTCTGCTGATCTTAGGTAGGAAACATTTGGTTTTTACCATGAAGCCTAAAAGAAACTGGAGTTTCTTTTAAACAAATGCACTCAGTAAGGCTGAGTCTTACTAGCTTCCTCAGAGTTTTTATCGAGCATGAAAACTGAATTTTACTAAATAAATTATTAACATTTGTTGACATAATCATATAATTTGTTCATTTTCTCTTGAAGTTAAAATTTCGAATGTTATACTAACCTACAATAGTATGACAAACCATATTAGGTCATCACGAGTTATTTTTCCACAGTATTTGGTTCAATTGGCTAAACTTTAGCTCACAGTTTTGGCAGCCATGTGCAGAAGAGACAATAGGTAGTGGTTTCCTTAGTGTAACCTGGCTTCGGTATTGGGGTGATGTTGGCTTCACAGGGTGAACCGGAAGCTGACCCCTCCCCTTCGGTTATGTAGAAATTCATCTGCACATTTGACTAAGTTCCTCCGTGAAGCTATTGGACTTGAATCTCATTGTAAAAAAAGCTTTTTGCTATAAGTTCAATCTATTTAATGAACGAGTGGTCACTCAAATGCATTTTTGCCTTGAGCGAGCTTCGGTAATTGCAAAGAATTTATCTCTGTCATATAAGGCGTCAGATTCATTAGCATGGAGTTAGCCATGGTGGTCCCTTATTATCCTTTGATATCTGTGGAATCTGTCATGATGACACCTCCCCATTCTTCATATTGATAATTTGTGTCTTCTCCCCTTTTTTTCCTGATACATCTGACTGAAGATTTATCACTTTTATTGATCTGCTCTAAGAACCAGTGTTTGCCTTTATGGATTTTTCCCTCTATTTTTTGTTTTCAAGCTCATTGATTTCCAGTGTGATCCTGGTTTCCCCCCTTTTCTATTTACACTGGGCTCGCTTAATCTTTTTCTGGTCACTTAATGTAGGAGATGGGGCTATCAGCCTGCAATTGCTCTTTCTTCCCGCATCAGGTGTTCCATGCTGAAAAGCCCTACTTAGCAGCGCCTGCACACCACCCAAAGTGCATGTGGACAGGCTAGACCTCCATCCATTCTCAGCTCATTCCTTTGTCCATTTCCCTTTTGATTTCTTCTTTAAATTATTGGTTATTTAAGAGTGTTATTCAATTTTCAACTACGTGTATATTTCCAGGTGTCCCTGAGGAGTTTGAATTTAACTCTATTTTGTCGGGGTCCATGCCTTCATTGCTTATGTCTTTTAAAGTTGGTGCTTTGCCCTAAGGTTCAACATATGGTCTGTCTCAGTTCAAATGGTCACGTGAAAGGAACACTCACTGTGTGGCTATTGGGCAGAGTAATCAACACATGTTATGGCATGTTTTCTGATAGTGGCATTTAAGTCTATGTCCTTTTGGCTTTCTGTTTTCATTATTGGAAAAAAAGGACAACTTTTGAAATGCTCACAAGGTGTTTTCACCTCTGCCAGTATCATAAGTAACATAGCAGTGAATATCTTGGGGCACTCACCCGTGACTCTAGGTGACTGGGGAATACTGCCACATCCTGTCTTCTAAGGCTGTGTGGCCAAGGTTTAGTCAGGGTATAGATTGAGTCAGGCACTATTCAAAATTGTTGCCCACATGATCATCATGCAGTTTTAATAAGCTCCAGAACACAGGGTGGGGGCCTAGGTGTGGGGTGATGAGGTTCATGTACACAGGGGAAGACTGGGCATATGTCAGTGCCCATAAGAGCACACAGAAAGCAAGACTTTGGAAAGGGAAGCTCATAAACAACAAAGCCCCTCTGGAAAGGAGCTCATCCTGGAAAGGAGATAGCATCTGCCTGGCCTTCTCTAGTGCCACCTGCAGCTCCGGAGGAGTCCTGAAAGATGGGAGAGTGCTCCTTTCTTGTGTCCCAAAGCAGATGAGCTTGTCACCTTGAAAGTACAGTTACCCCATATTGTGGACAATGCCTTCAACAGGCCTGAGGGGTTGTGACCTGTCCCTGCTAAACTTGGGGTTGGAACTGCTGACAGTCTTGCGGGAAGCCCAGACAGAGATTTATGGAGAGTTGTTTCACTAGTGGGAACCGCACAAAACAGGATCCATAAAATATTGACTGGAACTGTATGATTGCAGACAGATCTGCATTGATTGTTTTTCCCCCTCTGTGCATGTCCTCATTTCCCCCTTTCTGTATAAGAAATGTCCCTTGTTCTTGGACAGGTCCCAGTGTGGTTCCTCTTCCCCGGAGCCTGCCTCTGACTGTACCTTTGGTATTCCGTGTACTTGTATAACCCACTTGGGAAGACTTAATCACTCCTGGGAGTATCTTAGCCTCTTTCCCTATCTCTTCCTTGCTCTTCTCTCTTTCTGGCCCTCATGCCCGCCCACTGACCCTCCCGTCCTCTGAACCACTCTCCAGTGGCTATGAGCGAGCCACCCTATATAAAGATGACTGTGTAAAGGAGCTGGTAGCCTATCTGGAGGCCAGCAAGGACCTAGATCCTAGCAGCAGTCTTTTGAGTTAGCTTAAAAGTGAGCCATTCCCAGGAAACATTGTGTTGACTCCAGTCTTTAGGCAGTGCCTGGACTCTAGACTGACTGAACCTGAGTTAGGGAACCATGCTGAGCTGTGCTGGGAGTATAGATGTGTGTTGTTTTATGATGCTAAGGTGAAGGCCATTCATTATACAGCTGTAGATGACAAAAACATAAACATCCCACAATCCTGCTTCCTCTTTCCTCATTCTTCCCATCTGTCTTTACATCTTTATTCTTTTAGGGTATCTGATTTGTTGCCTCAATTTCTCTATGTCCACCCTTCATGGCCACCTTTTCTCCTAGCCGGATACTCCCACCATGCCTCTTGGGAAGCTTCTAGGCTTCCAATACACTGCAGACCCAACTCATGTTCTCTATGCTGGTGGGTGCAACCCACCATTGATATTTGTGTTTGTTTTTAGGGTTGCTGCAACTCAACAGAGAGTTGGCTTAAAACAACCCAGATTTATTCCTTCACAGTCCTGGAAGCCTGGAGTCTGGAATAAGCTGTCACAGGGTTCCAGAGAAGGGTCATTCTGGGGCTTTCCCAGAATCCTCAGTGTTCTTAGCTTGTGGCAGCATCCTTCCAACTTCTGTATGTGTCTATCTATGTACAAATTTGCTTCCTCTTAAAAGGAGGTAAGGGTCACCCTAGGGCAGTGACATCTTCTCAGCTGATTATATCTTCACTGACCCTATTTGCAGATAATGTCATGACCACAGGTCCTATAGATGACACAAGAATGGCTTGTGACACTGTTCAACCGAGTACAGAGCTCAGGAGCAATTATGTGACCACTCTAGGCTTCCCTTGTCTTCAGCTGTCCCTGTCTCATCTCTTGGGTCACCGAATGACAGCCCCCAGTGGAGAGGACCTACTACTCCCTGGTTGACCTCTAGGCTACATATAGCTCCTTTTCAAAGGTGAACGTCCTTCCCAAGTAAAGCCCCGGCACCAACCTCTCCTCAGCATGCCCCTGCACTCTGGTGAGGTTCCCATGTCCCCTCCAGGTCCCCAGGCTTTAGACTCAAAGCACCAGTCATGGTTGTGATGTTTGAGCCCTTGTTATCTCTGTCTGGGACACCTACCCGGGAAGATTTAAGTGCTCCCTGGTGACGTGGTCTGAGGGCTGAGCCTGATGGAACCCAGAGGGTGTGGACAGGGCTGTGAGGGAGGGCACTGGGGGAAACAGTCTGCAGCAGGGACTTGTCAGGTTTGAGGACATTGGTCCCACGTGTCCGCTGTTCTGAGGCCTTGGGTAGTCCTCTCACCTCTCTAAATCCCCATTTTCTGGACTATTCTGTGAGGATGATCAGATCCCTGGCAGCTGTCTTAGGTTTCTGATGGAGGGTCTCTGAAAATGCTCAGGAGACTCAGCCTGCAGTGCTCCCTGAAGAGTCCTGAGTACAGCTGCCATGATGCCCCTGAGAACATAACCTGGAGGCTACAGAAGTCATACCCTCTTTGAGAATAGACTTCAAGACAGGAGTGTCTAGCTAGAATCCATGGATTCCCTGGAGTAGTTCTGAGTCACTGGAGCTATGCCCTGTGGAACTAAAGTTTTTGGGGACCTCTAGGATCAGTGTGGGTTCTGGACTACACTCAACTGTTTTTAAGCGTAGTGCAGACCATGAGACCTCTGCCTGGTGCTACATTAGGACCTGGGGCCTCTGTGGGTGATGTTGGAAGGACAGAGGGAGCCAACTAAATGCTGGGGCCTCATTCTTCCTCTTTACTGGAGCAGAGCTTGCTGGCCACAATGCTCTCCTGGAATGTCCTGGATTATAACCAAGCCCAGCCTTCATGCCTCTTGCCACCACTTCCTGGGGTGAACACTTCAGTCACCCAGAGGTGAGGGCTTGGGCTCCTGCTCGGAAGGCCACCAGGCTCTAGACACATGCTGGAAGATACAGCTTTTTCTTTCTGAGTTGTCAAGGATATACAATCTCCCTGGGTAGCACGTGAGGTCTTGTTTGATGTCCAAAGAGGCTGCATGTGGGAATGAAGATGCCATCCAGGGCCTGCAGTGTCTATGGTCATTCTGGCTTCACCTGGCTTGATGCCCAGCTCTGCCCTGGCATCCTTCCCAATACATACCACAGCTCTTCCTGCCAGTCGGCACCTGGGATCCACTTAACTCACAGGTGTTCACTAATCTTGGAATCATGCCTGTACTCTGGTCTATGCTCAGTCTGAGTTCTGTCTTGGTCCCCATGAGAGCACTAGACACTGTTCTGGGTTTCAGAGGTGACTCTAGTGGAGGTAATTTCCAGCCTTGAGACAGAAGATGCAGTCAGGAAGGAGAGAATAGACCTAGGAGACAGGGGGAGATTCTGGGATGGAGGGTCATGGGATCTACTGGGGCAGGGAATAAGAGAGAAGGCCAAATCGAGAGGAAAGGTCTGAAGGACAGAAATCACAGATCGGGCTCATGGCAGCTGGAGGTGAAATCATTCATGCTACCAGGCAGGGTTGCTAAGGGTAGTCCACTGTCCTTGCACATGTGCTGTGCTGCTGCAGTCCCTGTTGTGTGTTCACAGGATTAATTAAGTCTCCCCAGGACTTGGGACTGTCAAGCATTCTTCAGGATGACCTGGCAGGTATTCCTCAGAGGATGCCATCTTGATTAAAAAGAAAATTGAAAATCTTCACACCTTTTGCCTCTTGATAATGAAGAATTGGAAAAAAAAACCTGAAGATCTTTCTGTTCAAATATCTCCAGACCTCTGTTCACACAGCCCCTCATCAAGTAGGGCCCTCAGGAGGTTCTGGGACCCAAGAATAAAGATAGCAAGGAGGCTACCTTGAGCAAAAGAGCTACTATCAGTGGGACAGAGTAGGATAGTAAGCCCATGATGTCTATACCCCTTCATGCAGGGACTATCAGGAAATTCTAATATCAGGAGCTAACCACTCTTGGAGGAAGCAGTTAACTGAGGGTGAGCTATGCAAAAGCCATATCAGGATATGTTTCAGCAGTCACCATACTATTCAAACGCTCAGTGTGCTTAGGACATGACTTGTTTCTCTCAATGGACGAAGCACTACGTGTTAAAGTCAAAGCAAAATTTGTTTTATTTGCTAATAGTGGTGAAGCAGTGACTGCAGCACATGCGGGGTGCCTCAGTGTGTTCAAAGGGAGGAGTGGGGGCTGTTGTCAAAACATGATATTCTGAAATAAATTCACAATAATCAACAATCATACTGGCCCTAGTCTGCCACCTAGCAGACACATGCTACAACGTCATCACAGGATGGCTTCTTACATGGGGCAGCAGTGGCTACTCTTGTTACTCTTCCTCTGCTGTGAAGAGGCAGTGCCAATGACCCTAGGAGTGAGCTTTGGCATGAGTCATCTTCCATGAGCCTTCAGATGAGACCACAGTCCTGGCCAGCAGCCTGGCTGGAAGAGCCCTTGAGTCTAGATGCCATCCCATCTAACTTCCACATAGCCCTGGCCCAGAACGATCCAGAAACCTGTGCCTTACCAATAATCCTCTCAGGACTACCCAAAAGTAGTGGAAAATACATGTGTTATGGTTTAAATCTAAAATGTCTCTCATAAGCCCATGTTTTCAGGGCTTTGTTCCCATTGGGTGACAGCAGTTCAAAGGCCTTCAGAAGATGGGGCCTAGCTGTCTGAAGTAGGTCAGTAGGGGCAGGCCTTTGAAGGTTTCATCTGCCCTGCCTTCAGCCTGTTCCCTCAGGGTATCCAGGCACTGTTGTGCACCAGGCCAAACTGGAAGGAATGAAGCTTAGCTGGACAGGTGGGTTAGACAGAAACCCAGTCAGAGTGAGTGCAGGAGAAATAGCCTTCTCCGAAGATGATTTTCCGTCAAACAGCTTCCTTTATTGGGGGCAAATGAAGGCTATATAAACCTTGGGAAGTGGGTGGAGTTTCTGAGGTGTTCATGACTGGCTGGGGCTGAGGTTCTGGAAATGCTTCATTTTTGTGAAGAGAAGTTCCAGGTGCTTGCTGGATATGTCCTTATAGAGAGAGGAAGTTAAACCTGTAATTTGCCACCAGGCTACCTGACTACCTCAAGGGTGACAGAGGTGGGACTATAAGGCTTACATGTACTTGGAGATGCAGGCCCAAAGCACAGGGGAAAAAGAAACAGTCCTACTCCTGCTGGTCTCAGGACATGATTTTGGGGATTTGGACTCTCAACCTTACTCTTGCTCTGGAATGGTTCCCCAGCTGCACAGCTTTCCGACCACACAGAGCAGTGTGCCCTTTCTGCTCTGACAAACTGAGAAGACCCAGTGACTCATGTCCAGTTACCATGAGCTATGTATGCCATATTGATAAAGGGATTTTGAGAGCAACAGGACCCTTCGCAGCCCAACCTTGCATGGCTCCAAGATGATAGATAGACCTAAGATGATAGTCACACGGTCATCAAAGATCAACCCAGGGTAGTGGCTCAGAGTCTGTTGTCTCACACCAGTGAAGATTTCATGGGTATATGTTAAAGAGAAGCAAGCTTTTTTTTTTTTTTGAGAATCACGGTGGTTCAGATGATAACGTTTGCATTGGGTCTAGCATTTGAACATTTAGTTCCCAGGTGGTGGAGCTATCCAGGGAAGTCTGAGAGATGTGGCCTCACTAGAGGAAGTTCCTTGGGGGTGGGCTGTGAGGTCTTAAAGCCTTGTGCCCTTCCCAGTCTGCTCTCTCTGCTTCCTGCTTGTCATTCAAGTTGTGAGCTCTTGCTGTGCTGTGCTAGCTGCCGTTACTGCTCCTTCCACCACGATGATGGACTCTAATGCCCTGGAACCATAAGCCCAAATAAACCCTTCTTCCTCTGAGTTGCCTTGATCATGGTGTTTTCTTCCACAGCAATAGAAAAGGAACTAATGCAAGATTATTATCGAAAGGTGAGAAATTAAGGGGAGAGAAACGTTGGCTTGGGAGAGGGTTCTAAGAAAGGAAAAACCATCAGATTCTTTTGTCTGGGAGTTCTAGAGTAACAGTGGACAAAGACTAAGGTATGTACATTGAGGTTTTCCAGGGACTGTGGGTCAAGCCAATGGCTGGCCCACACACTCTGCACATCCCCCAGATCTGACCAGAGCGGTGACCATGTGCTTTTCTCACACTGTGCATGCACTGAGGAGTCATCAAAGCTCCCATCTTCCCCAGCCCATCTCTGACCCTGACTGCCTGCAAGCTGTTAGCCCTGCCCAGTGTTTCTCCTACCTGCCTTGCAGGTGTCTGGACATCTAATTAGATTATGTTCTCTTTGCTTTCAGGGCTGCTTGATCAACTTGTAGTTTTACTGTAGCAGGGAGTTAACCCTATCATCGCCACCAAGATGTAGCAGCAATCCTTCTTGGTTCCTTCCTTGTCTGTGAGATGGTGGTATGGGATCTCTGTCCTGAAATAAATGGAAGTTTCTTCTTAGAAGCCACCCTTACTTGTTTCACAGTTAGTTAGCACAATCCACATTAGTAGCAAGGATATATGGATGGAAACAGTGCATGGTGTGTGTTCCTAAGGGTGGCGAGGCCTGGGGCGTGTGGATGGACAGTAGACCTGTCTTCACGGCCAGCTCTGTCCCCCAAGCTTCATTATCTCATTCCCAGATAAAACCTCTCCTACTCATCTTCCTCCGGGCTCCAGACTTCTACATTTTAATTCCCAGTTTTCCTTTATCCCCCAGCTTCTGTTCTCACCATGAACAGCTTAACTATTTTCCCATGAGGCCTTTCCTGCACTACTTACAGAGAGCTAGGCGCTGAACTGAGACCTCCTGAGATCGTGAGGACCCCAGTCCTCCCTCCCTCAAGTTGTTCCTGTTGGGCATTTTATCACAGAGATCAAGCAAAAGCCACTATGGGGATCTGGTTCCAGACAAGAGAGGCCATTGCTGTGACTTAGCCCCACTGAGCGATGCTCGGACTTTTGGATCTGGCTTGTGGGAGAGTTTGGAGATGTGGGCTGTGGAAGCCATGCCGTAATCCAAGACTACTGGGTGATTCTGACAGGAATTTGAAAGGCCGGGATCTTGATAGAAAGGCAGACATTACGAGTGTGCTCATGAAGCTTCAAATGAGAACATCTATCATGAGCTGGGTTCGAGGCTATGTGTGGTATATTTGGCAAAGAATCTCCCTACATTTTGCCTATACATTACACACTCGAGTGAGGCTGAATCCAAAAGCAACGGACTAACTACATTTGGCAGAGAACATTTCAAGACAGCAGAGCCTCTGGGCTATCATGTGGTTATTGCCGGTCACTTTTAGAGTTTACAGTAGAAAAATAAGACCCAGAAGCAGTGCAGAAGGAAATAATGCATTGCCTGACTAATAAAAGAGTGAGAAGGTGCTTTAAAGCTGTGGACACAGTGGCAGTCAGAAGACTGGCATCCTTAAAGCTTGTTTGAAATAATGGGATGGGTACCTAGAGGGCAAAATTTTACCCATGGAAGGCTCAAGGGTATAAAGCTAAGGCCTTCATTTGAAAAGAGAATGCCACAAGGACCCACTGCCCACACAGGTGTTCCTCAGATTCAACCATACAGATAGACACCCAAGGGCTGCTTCAGCCAAGGTGCTACAGGGGAGCCCAGCTGAACACAGTAGTGTCTGTGTGATACTCACTTTGCAGACAGGCAAGCTCTAAGAGTTATGGAGTCTTAAAGACTCACACTAAGACTTCACATCACTCTGGGGTTGATTATCAACCTCTAAACCAGTGGCTCTCAAGCTCCCAAGTGACGTGACACCTTAATACAGTTCCGCATGTTGTGGTGACCCCCAGCCGTAAAATTATTTTCTTTGTTATTTCATAACTGTCATTTTGCTACTGTTACGAATCGTAATGCAAATATCTGATATGCAGATGGTCTTAGGTGACCCCTGTGAAAGGGTCATCCAATTTCCAAAGGGGTCATGACCTAAAGGTTGAGAACTTCTGCTCTTACCATTTCATATCAGACATTATTTCTGGTTCTGATGAGAACAGCCATTTGTAAGAAAATCTGATGGCTTTTGAGCAGAAACATTGAGCCCATATGAACAGTTGCTGCAGTGCTCAGGGGTGCTTAACGGTTGATGGGTTGATGGGGTAACACTTTGGTAACAGCCACACCAGAGTCTTTAGGGTGGTAGAGTCGTTGGGTGGCCCAACCAGGACTCTTACTCATTCAAGCATCCTCCCACTCACTCACAAGCCCATCCTGCTGAGTGTGGCTTAGTGCTGGGACAATGGCTGGTGTTGGCTTCTGGGTCTCAGAGTGACGGAAGTAAAACATAGCTTCTGTAGGGGTAGAAACTGGATCCATGCTGCCTGGCGGCTGCTGCTGTGAATATCATAACCCAGGTTTTCAGATAGCATAGAATGTGCTCCAAGAATTGATGGTCCAGCTAGAAACCAGGCAAAGGAAAAGAGAGAAAAGTCATACACAGGACAAGGCTGTGTGCAGCAGGCAGCAGGCTAAACATAACAGTGGCCACACTATCTGCAGATCCATGGTTCCCTGCGGGACTGCCCGGCTCTCATGATTTGCCTGTTCTCTGCGGACATGTCTGTTGTAGAACACCCACACATTCCTGCTCTTCTGGCTTTGGGTTTTGAGCTGCACTCTCTATAGCCTTTAGCTACACTAGACTAGAGATTCCTTACAGTGTGGTTGTGATGGACCCCTTAGCCACAAGAGAAGTCAGTCTTCCCAAGCACCCCACCTCTTTACTGGACCAGAGGAGAGGTTTGGAGGTAGCTGCTTCTCCTTCAGCAGTCCTCCCTACCAGTTCATTCACTGAAACTTATGACATTTGATTAAAATAAGGAGAGGAATGCGTTTCAACATTTTCTGCTGGGAAATCACAAAGTAACTCTGTGTAGTGTGGATTTAATTAAAATTGGATCGTGAGTACTGGGGGTGAGATCAGCATTCAGTGCTTGGTCTAAGAGCTCTCAGATGACCGTAGCGAAGACGCAAAGTTTCTGGTAAGTTCTTTCTGCTGTCTGGGCCTCTATGTGTCTTATTGGATTTGGTGAATTCTGGAAGTTGCTTACTTCCACTCTGGTTTTCTGTATTGTAAATGTCTCAGGTGGAGGAAGGAATGGCTACACTGTGCTTGAACAGAACAAGGAAGCAGAGTGCGATCCTGTCCCTACTGTCAAGCTGTGACCCCTGCATGGCCTCTCTACTGGCAGGATGCTGTCTTCTAAAGCTGGAAAGGCAGGAATCCTAAGAGCAGATAGGGTCCTGGATTAGCATCAAGGCCTTACTTAGTAAATGGAGTTAGTAGATGTCAAGATGAAATCGTCTTGGGTTTAGAGCAGGCCCTGACTCCAGTGCAGGCATCTATGTAAGACAGGGAGGAAAAAAGACCATGTGATGATAGAAACAGGCTGGAGCAATGCAGCCAAAGCAAAGGGAGCCTGTGGTCCAGAAGCTAGGGGAGGCAGCGCTATTAGCCTCCTGGATTTCAGATGCACAGACCCTAAACCATGGAAGGACAGACCTGCGATATGTTCTCTCCATCCCTGAGTCCTGAATGGGTCCCTGGGATGCCAGTCAGTGTATTAATGGAAGTCTGTCTGTTGCTTTCGAACAGGCCAACCCAGCCTGCCGTATCCAGTCAAGTGCTGAAGCAGGCCCCAGCCGTGGGTCCTCTTTGTAGCCTCACATCCACAGCCACACAGTCTGCTTGCTCCACTCAGCTTCTTGGGACCTGGCCTGCTTTCTGCTCCTGGCCCTTTTCTGTTCTGTATCCACCATGACTAGGAGCCAGCCATGACTGGATGTTGTCGGGGTAAGTGTTGGGTCTTCCCAGCACAGTACTAACATGTCTGCTGAATGCACAGGTTCACTGACTGCCTGCCAGTCCTGGGGACCCACCTGCTCATCCCCAGCCACTGAGAGCCATTACTACTAGTGGCTTTCAATTTCTTCAGTACACAGACAATCTGATTGTCACACTGGGTTTGGTGAGCTAACTCTATGCGTGGAGACCAAGGGTGCTCAGAACAGCCCTACTACAATCTGGACTGTCTGTTAGGAACTCTGTTAACCCTACGAAGGGACTCTGGCCAGCTTGAGCATGGTGACCATGACTCTTCTGGCTTTGTCCTTCTCTACCATTCCTTCTGCCTTGCTAAAAGACTGTGGGCTAGCCCTAAAGCTAGCCACCAACGTCTGACTGATCCCTTATTTGGCCACTTCCTCCTCCTGAGGCAGACTACCAAGGTCCAGCTATCAAAGTATTGAAGTCCAGCAATCGAAAGCCCTCTTTATCTCACCTAATTAACATGTTCAATCAAGATGAACACTCATCCTAACACACAGCTTCCCGTTTTACCTTTGTAGACTGCCATTTTCCTGTGTGCCACGTCTCCTCTACCCAGGGGCAGTCCTTTTTCCTCCAGGACAAATATCCCTTCCCCCTCTCCCTGGTTCCTTTTCTCTCCTCTCCCTTGTTCTCTTCCCCTTCTCCTGTCTGTGTCCCTTATCCCCTGCCCTCTGTCCCCTTGGGGGCAAATAAATTCCTTTGCTCTGAGAAATTGGTCTGAGAACTTGGCCCTGAGGGTCCTAAGCTAATACTTTCCCTCTTATCCTGACTTCTCTCAGGAACCTAGGCAGGGCTGCCATGCCCATGCCTATGCCCATGCCCATGCCTATGCCCATGCCTATGCCCATGCCTATGCCCATGCCCATGCCTATGCCCATGCCTATGCCCATGCCCATGCCTATGCCCATGCCTATGCACATGCCTATGCCTATGCCCATGTCCATGCCTATGCACATGCCTATGCCTATGCCCATGTCCATGCCTATGCACATGCCTATGCCCATGCCCATGCCTATGACCATGTCTATGCCCATGTCTATGCCCATGCCCATGTCCATGCCTATGCCTATGCCCATGCCCATGCCTATGCCCATGTCCATGCCTATGCCCATGCCCATGCCTATGCCCATGCCCATGCCTATGCCCATGTCCATGCCTATGCACATGCCTATGCCCATGTCCATGCCTATGCCCATGCCCATGCCCATGTCCATGCCTATGCCTATGCCTATGCCCATGCCCATGCCTATGTCCATGCCTATGCCCATGCCCATGCCCATGTCCATGCCCATGCCCATGCCTATGCCCATGCTCATGCCTATGCCCATGCCTATGCCCATGCCCATGTCCATGCCTATGCCCATGTCCATGCCTATGCCCATGTCCATGCCCATGCCCATGCCCATGCCCATGCCTATGCCCATGCCCATGTCCATGCCTATGCCCATGTCCATGCCCATGTCCATGCCCATGCCTATGCCCATGTCCATGCCCATGCCCATGTCCATGCCCATGTCCATGCCTATGCCTATGACCATGCCTATGCCTATGCCTAGCCCATGCCCATGTCCATGTCTATGCCCATGTCCATGCCTATGCCCATGTCCATGCCTATGCCCATGTCCATGCCCATGTCCATGCCCATGTCCATGCCTATGCCTATGCCCATGCCTATGCCTAGCCCATGCCCATGTCCATGTCCATGTCTATGCCCATGTCCATGCCTATGCCCATGCCCATGTCCATGTCCATGCCCATGCCCATGCCCATGTCCATGCCCATGTCCATGCCTATGCCCATGCCCATGTCCATGCCCATGTCCATGCCTATGCCTATGCCCATGCCTATCCCTAGCCCATGCCCATACCTATGCCTAGCCCATGCCTATGCCCATGCCTATGCCTAGTCTATGCCTATGCTTATGTCTATGCCTAGCCCATGCCCACGCCTAGCCTATGCCCATGCCTATGCCTCTCACAGACAGACTTAGACAGTCCCTTACTGGGCCCCAAGGATCCACTCAAATCTATAAGATCTCTATCTCCCACTGTGCAGGCTCCCACGAGAGAACCATGGTCCATCGGTGCCCCTGGTATGAGTAGGGATACTTCACCTATCCCAGCCCCCTCGACCTGGAGAGCCCTCCCCCAACACTGATGTGCTTACTGCCCTCACCCTACTCCTGCTTCATTGTCACAGCCATTCCTTTTGTCCCATACCTCTGCAAAGTTTTCTGGGTAGTTTATCTGGAAGAAAGGGGCATTCATGGCTAGCGATGAAGCTGTGGCTTAGATCTAAGGCTACCTTGCATACCCCAACCCCCCCCCTGCCCATTTTGTTGTCTGACGCCTCATGGGACAGTTGAACAGGAGCGGGTATAGACCTTGAACAACCAGCCACATGGAGAGCTGTTGTTTGCCTGGACTTGTCCTTGTCCCACGGAAATCCTACTCAGCCATGTGGTGATCCACCTCTCTTAAGCTTTAGCATCTAGAGATTCCGTAAATCAAGCCTTCCGGGGACCCTGTGGGCAGCTATGTGAACCCTGCCTACTCCCAGGTATATAGGCAGGGTTTGCATGGCCCCATGTTCCCGACTGAGTAGGGGCAGGCAGAGATGGTCACATTCATTGACACCCAAGTCTTTGTCTCCAGCCTGGCCAGTACTGCTCGCCCCACAGTGGAGGCTCATCACCCACCACGCCTCCCCTTCTACAACCAGGAGACACAAAGGAGAGTGAGGCCATTGGAACCAGGTCAGGGTAGGTGGCTTTTGATCCTAACAACCACTTTCCAACTCTCCCCAGCTTTCCTAGGTAGTTTTTCAGAGGGATGGAAGGCCTGTCCCTCACCATCAAGGGCACCACGAGCACAGGAGCTTCTCTAGAACAGAAATGGTCTTTTATTTTAAAAAGTGTCATCTCCACCTGTCTACGTTCACACTTGCCTATGGCCCTGTACACCATGCTAATACGGTTTGTGCTGGCCTTTGGTTCACATTGCTTTGCCAAGCAGTGTGCTGCCTCCTACTCCCAGAATGCATTTGGTGTGGTTTTGCTGTTGGTTCCTAATAATAAACGTGGTGGTTCATTTCCATTGTCAAGGTGACTGGATTGGGGATCACCGGGGAGACGCGTCTCTTAGTTGTCTGTGGAGAAGCGTCTTTCCTCTTCTAAGTGGCCTTTAGTTGGGTATTTTTGTAAGTAACTGTGAGGAAAGTAACTGAATGAGGATGTGCAGTCCAGACGGGAGTAAGGATGGTCCTCTCACATCCTACTTCTCTCGGGAAGTGTGGTCAGCAGACGCTGTGGGGGTGGCTTGGAGAGAGTTCCATAATCTTTGAAGTACTGCCCAACAAGTGGTGCTGCTTCTTGTCTGTTGAGTGTGGCTAGCCCCAGATTCTCACAGAAGCAGGAAGCAACAGAAGCAACCACTGAGGGATAGGATTCAGAAAGACTTAGCAGTGGTCTTGGGCTATTCTTGCCTCTTCTAATTGTCAACTCTTGTTCTAAACCTCAGATGTTCCCTTGTATCCTATGGAGAGGCCCGTGTGATAAAGAGTGCAGAGACCCAGACCCACAACATGTGAGGACCCATGGCTGGCTGACAGCAGTGTCCAGTTGTCCCCATAGCTGAGAGGAACCTCTCTGGGCACATTCACTGAGCCCCACTTTGTGCTGGGAGTCTCAGAGGACAAGAGTCCCTAGAGCCTCAGAATCCTGCAGAGGATGGCAGGACATCCAGTACCCCAGTAACCAGGACTACAGACACAGGGAACATCCAGGCATGTAAGTCCAGAGTGTTGCTCAGAACGTTCCTCTCCATGATTCACATGTGTGACCTCTGTAAGGTGGCAGAGCTCAAGGACAGCTGTTGGTCCTACTGACCAATGACACACACAAATATTAGAGGATTCATGAGCCAACAGGAAAACAGAAATATTGAAGGGAGTTTCAGGGGGGAGGAGGCATCAGGCAGAGACCTCATCGGGGAATCTTATTAACCACACAGCGCACAGCTGTTAATTACATAAAAATTAAATTGGCAATAGCTCAGGCAGAAACCTCCAGTTTGACACCTTTCTCATCCCGAGCTGCAGAGCCAACATAATCTTAATTAGTAGCAGAATCCACTTCTTTGTCCTCCTGTTCCCCAGGCCCATTTCTTTGGTCTGCCTGGATCAGCTCTCGTAGCTACAATATGGAGTCCATCTCAACTGTAAATGCCAAAAAGTAAGAGGAGGGAGCCTAGGCAGAGAAGGAAGTGTTCTTCATGGCCGTCAAGGGTGAGCTGTGACATGGTGGTGTTCTACACTGTGGCCTGCCCACTGGAGAGTCCCAGGGCTCCTGTCATGTCCTCTGTCCTGGCATCTCTCCTGTGCCAGAAGAAAACCACATTCTCTTGCTTGCCACTGGCTGCCAATGGTTAGCCTATGATACATGCTCAATGCAGCGCCCACCCAGGGACTTTGAAAATTTCAGTTCTGTGGGTTCCAGAGCTGGAGACAGTGGAGGTCAGCAGTCAAAACCTACACCTCCCACCCACACAGGCACAGCTAATCCACTGTACTGCTCGGCTCCCCCAGCTGCTTCTTAGAGAAAAGTCTGCAAGGGATGGATGACCAGAGCCTTCTTCCCTCTGAGGATGCCCCCCTACTCTCTCTGGGATGTTCTTTCCCTCTCTGTGATGTGCTTCCATGGACCACTTTAGAATCCTAAGCCACAATTCAATGTGACGATCTCCTCTTCTGACTGCACACAATAATTTGATTATGGATAATGGAACTGTCTTTAATAATTAAGCAGCTGCTGGAACCTAGGTGAAGTTCTGATGCCTGCTCTTCCTTATAGTCAGTGCTGGGAAAGCAAATGCAGGTGTGGGTGGATCCTATGCTTCCCAGGACTCAGTGTGTTATCTGACCTGGCTCTGGGGTGATGTTTGTGGATCCTGACTCACAGCAAGCCCATTGGAAACCCCCTTTCTCCATGCCTCTAGGATTGTCCATCTACCCCATGCACAGGTCTCTAAGCAAGCTCATTCTCCAGGTCTGACTCCCGAGTTGATCCCTGGAGATGCCAACTCCCACTTCTCTCAACAAGCGCACGTGCTGAGGCTTCTCCAGCCCACCAGGAACTAACAGGTAAGCAATTAGAAGCTATTCATAGAAACCCCACAAAAGTCCAATAAAGTAAAAGGCATTTCTCAATCCTCAATAGAGTAAGTACATTTAAGAGCAATTCAGGAATTCAGCATACGAACTTTTCAAAATTAATGACAATCAAACACTTTATATTATATATACATCCTGTGTACAAAAACATATTCATTTACACATCAAGGAAACATAGGCTTGTGTGCTAAATCAATGAGGTCTCAACATTTTCCTTAGGCCCTGTATATAGCTATCTATTGATTTGTCTATAAATTATTAATTGCAATATGGCACAGATGTGAAACATAGCATGCCTACTGTAGCTGTAACGTCAGTACTTCTGGGCATGAGTTTTAACTTCTCTATCTGCACACACTTGTGTACAGGCTGAATGCACACGCCTTCATCTGATATAGACTTCTTTTTGTCGCTGAGATCACTTTACACTTAAGACTGTCAAGCACTTACAGAAAAGGAAAACCCCAGGCTTCTGCTGAACATATTGTAAACAAAGCATTAGGATCTGAGATTTACCAGTATGCTGAAAATCTGAGTCCTGCCTTACTATCCAGAGAATGCAGGGATGGTTCAATGTTAAGACATGTATGCAATTCATATATTAAAGGGTAAAATGCAGGAAACCACACATCCACTGAAGCCCTTTTTAGAGACAATCAAAAGCTATCTGTGAACCAAACACACATCAAAAGTGGATGGAGTGGGTGAATTAGTGATAGGCGTTCCTTGGGATGGCCTGTTATGCAGCCATCTGAAAGAATTAGATAGATCCGTATGTCTTACATGGGAAGAATTTCAGCATCAATTATTAAATGAAGGTAGAAAGCGGAAGAGCAGGAGTATATTAATATCTGAATACATGAGACATAAATATGAATAAAGTATTTTATGTATTTATATAAATATGATGCATAATTTATGTATAAATTATACATGTATAATTCACAAACAATTGGTATATAACACAAGATGTAATTTACATCTATAATTTATACATACACATGAGTGTCCCTTGTGTATTTCAGGCCTCAACAGCCTGGGTAGTCAAAGGAAGCTGCACGTGGTATTATACAAGTTCTATTCCACCCCAGCCCCCACGCAAGGATCTGCCTTCCTTTTTGAGAGTTCCTAGGCTACCTCAGAGTGTTGTGGGTTACACTCTCCAGAGTCACTGCCATTGAGGGCATCACTCAAGGGGGTCGGGAGGTTCTCTCTTCTCATTCTGAAGTCAGCCCATTGATCTCTGGCATCTCCAAAGGCATCATTGCCAAAGAACATCCACTGGAAGCCACAGCGGTATTTCTTCTTCCTGCTTCACCTGGACAGGCAGGTGATACCTACACAGCCCTAAGGCCAATGGAGGCCTGCTAGGCTTCACACTTTCCAT